CAGAAGAGAACCGATCGCTCTAGATTATCCATTTCACTTTAAAAAGTGAATCTTTTCCACTTCCGGAATCGGATGAGATCACTTAATATAATGAGTAGCCTATATTTTCAATCTTTGGGGTATTCATGCTCGTTTTAAGCTTTATCTGGTGTGTAAAGCGACGGTGTAAAGTTGCGACATCGTGGTGTAATATTGGTATGTTAGACAGGCGATATCTTCAGTCGAATCACTAGCTTCTGCTACTCGCAGAGTCAGACTTGTTTTTGGTCTGTCGTACTGTGATAAGCTGTTTGATCAGCTTAGTTATGTCTTACTTCCTCACCTTCATCTTCCATGGCCGCTTCTCCTTTCGGGTCGCGGAGTCAGACGCGTCAGAAAGTGCTTCCTTATAGTAAGGTTTTTTTCTTTTTATGTTTCATGTCACTGCCTTTACACCTAAATTGATGAACACGATTATATAAATATACCTTATTGGTCAAACTGTACATATGGTTATGCATAGTACAGTGTATTGCGTAACATGTAAAAATATGTGATCATATGATAACGGAAATATGGCATTGTACACCAGAGTTTGCTTAAAAAAACCTTTAATTCCTCCATGTTAAGATTGTAATTTCGCGGCTCCGTCATGCTCCTACTTGCCTACGGGGCCACTTGAGCATGCAAAGCTACCTGCTATTTCAGCGCTCGATCCATATCGCTTCATTTTTTACTAGAGCCTTACTCTGTTCTACACCAGTGTTGTTTCAGAGGTCCAGTATTTTTTATCTGCTTTCGCCCAGCACCTTGCGCATGGTTTTGTAGCTGAGCCTGTTTATAATCGCTTTGCTCTTTTATAGCCCAATTATTATGTGATTTACTATAAATTATGCGCTCTCATGTTTCGATCATTTGAAATACCGTGGATATTGTTCTTTGATGTACATTTCGGGATACCGTCCATTCAGCGTTATGTTTTGTTCGGTTTAACCAGAATCCGTTGTCCTACATTACAACGATGGATTCTATTATGGTAACGTCTCACTGTAATTGCTTTCTGTGAATAATGATTATTCATCCTCAGCGCTGTAATTCACGGTTCTTCTTTCTTAGACGCATTTGCTTGAATGAATAGGTTGCTTCCCTCGTTAATCGAACATTTGCAGATTCCTGACAGGTTTTTTTATGGCAGTTGTAGCGATACAAAGTTATGCATTACTCCGTATTTTACCAAGGCTTGCTATCCCTTACTTATTCAGTTATTGGTTTCCGCACTCGTTACATCAAGGTTAAATCGGGACTA